CAGTTACTCTCAGACCCTCTATTTTTCTATGGTGTTTTCATGAATAATCCTTGAGTCCATGTTTATATCTAGTCCAAGGGTTCTTTCCTGAAGAGGTGTTATAGAATTGTGATTTTCAAAGATCTGGTTGAACTGTTTGAAAACGATAGCCTTGAGACGGTCCAGGTGCCGGCTCCTCAAGTCCATTTGCATGATCTGATGGTGTTTGCTGGCGACTGTCAGTGCCTGACCCAGAAGGGGTATGGTGCCCTTCAGCCTGGAGGAAGAAGTGAAGGTGAATAGCGTCTGGGAGTGATATACCACGTCTGTAGGTTTGTACTGGTTGGGCTTTTTGTGCTGAGTCCCCCAAGCAATTCGGATCCAGACTGCATTCTTTTTTTTTTTTTTTTTTCTTTTTTTTCAGACTGCATTCTTGTTAGGGTTCCTGAAGCTCACTGTTACGAGGCTCTGTGAAGAATTTTCTTAAATGAGATTTTTGAATTCTTCCACATCAAAAATGTCAACATCTTCATCTGTTTCTTTACTCATATGAAAAACATGCCACATTTTCTGGTTCCAATGAACTCGTGTATAAATGATGTCTAAAGGGTCACATCACTGATACTTGCACAGTTTTCCTCACACAGCAGAAGCAAGTCCTGAACCAAAGATGCTTTTTTCTGCTTGAAGTTTAGGATCTGCAACTGGTTTTCAGACAAAAAACCCCAGGTTTTTAAGATTGTCATCATTTTAGCCATGGGGATTTAAAAAATGGTCCTCCTGATAAACTCAGCCAGAATCTCATCCATCTCTCTGGCACGGCCCATATCCCCAGCCACCTCCTCAGCAACTGTTTCCACCGAGGCACCTTCAAAGCCACTCCCTTGCTGTTTTTAAAGAAATTTTTCTTTCTTTCTTTCTTTCTTTTTTTTTTTTTTTTTTTTTTTTGAGACAGGGTCTCACTATGCACTTCAGGCTGCCCTTGAGCTCACTTTGTTGCCCACACTGGTCTCAAACTTGCAACAATCCTCCTGCCTCAGCCTCCCAAGTGCTGGGATTACAGGCATGTGCCACCACGCCCAGCTTGAAATCTTTCTTTTCAGGATCACTAATTATAATTGTAAACCTGTCTTTTATATCTGAAATTTTGTCTTCACATTGGTTCATTTTGCTGCATACAATTTCAGTGGATTTTTAATTCTATTCTACTCTGTTCTGTTCTGTTCTGTTCTGTTCTATTCTATTCTATTCTATTCTATTCTATTCTATTCTATTCTATTCTATTCTATCCTATTTTTGGTACCAGGAATCAAACTCAGGGCCTCATGCTTGCCTGGTAGGCACTGTTCAGTGGAATTTTTAATCTCCTAGATATCTGTTTGAATCTGTTTCATGGATTCCATTTCTTTCCTATGTTGAGTGTTTATGGTTTCCATCATTTTCTAAGCCCCTCTTTTTTTTTAATCTGTATTTGTTCTAGAGTCACTAAGCATGTCTTTCATTATGGTCACCACCTTTGTAGTCATCTGAAAAATTATTTCTGATTTGATTTTTTTTGGGCGGGGGGAGCTTTTTGATACAGGGTCTCCCTATGCAGTTCAGGCTGACCTTGAGCTCACTTTGTAGCCCAGGCTGGTTTTTGAACTCACAACAACCCTTCTGCCTCAGCCTCCTGAGTGCTGGGATTACAGGCATGCACCACGACACCTGGCTTGATTTGATTTTTGTCTACAGTCTTATTTATCTGTGTTGTTACTTCCACTGTTACCACTTTACAGAATGTAGGTAGGTAGTTTCAGAGTATTCTACATCACTGTCCCCTGGGTTAGCCTTTGGTGAGCTGGATGTCTGGGTCTGTGTTTTAAGTGTCTTCTCTTTTTTTTTTTTTTTTTTTTTTGAGACAGGGTCTCACTGTGTAGTTCAGGCTGGCTTTGAACTCACCATGTAGTCAAGGCTGGCTTCAAACTCACAGTGATCCTCCTGCCTCAGCCTCCGAAGTGCTGTTTGTGTTTAGTTTAAATCCTTGGTTGATGCCTGTAAATTGCCTATGACCAGTAGCTTTATTGCTCGTATTTAGAACCCTTAAGAAAGGACTACTTCTCAAAGGTGTGTTCCAGATGTAGCTGGTTTTGGGGGTTTGAGTCTGTTGCAAGCTCCTACCATTTCTATTGACTGGGGATGAGAAGTTGTTGGCTACTTACATTAGTCCCTGGTTCTTTGGCACTGGCCTATAGTATTTTTATGACCCTTAGGCCATCTCAGTCTTGATGTAACAGGAAGACCAACTGATTAGAACAATTATGTCACCTTTGCTAAAGTAGTAAAATCTGCAATAACAATACCATCAAACGTGGCCTAGAAAATGACAAACTACCCAGTTATGGTGGTACATACCTGTACACTCAGCCCTCAGGCAGCTGAGGAAGCAGGGTCACTGCAAGTTCAAGGCCAGCCTGGGCTACATAGTGGGTTGAAGGGTAAACTGAACTGCACAGTGAGACTCTGTCTCAAAAAACCAAAACAAAACAAAAACAAAGGAAAGAAAGAAAAGAAAATGACAAACAGGTAACCATTAGTTTGCCACCTTTAACCCGACGAACTAGATTTGTGGTAATTTAACAAAATATAAAATAAACTAGAAAATTGTATGCAGTAAATAAGCTCTCAATATGGCAATTTTACCCTCAAAGGAGAAAGTTTAAAAGGGGTGTTGGGCCTGGGATATAGCTCAGTGGCATAAGTGCCTGCCTGGCAAGTGCAAGGTCCTGAGTTTGATTCCATACCAAAAAAAAAGAAAAAAAAAAATGGTTTTTCCTAAAAGGGGTGTTGAGGGTGGAAAATAGTAAAACAGAAGAATAAGAAGGAGGAGGAAGAGCAGGGGTAAGGAGAAGAAGAAGAGATTAGAAGCAAGGCAAACTTTGGGAAACTGGTACTGAAGACAGGAGGGAAAGAGAGAAGGAAGAAATAAAAACAAGGACAGAACAGAGCAACAACATAAAAAAAAAATGAGAACCCATGTTACACTCATATAAAAACAAGAACTACCAATTAAGAGAAAACAAAACAAAAGAGAGAAAAAAGGAAATAAGAAAAAAATGGTATGTCTCTGGTGTCACTGGTAGGCAATGTGGGCAGATAGAGTCCAGATCTGAGTTGATTAATCCCAGCAGGCCAACCATAGCTTTATGGTGGGGTAAAGGATAATCCCAGTGAGCCTGCACTTTCAGTTACACAGAAGTTCAGGCTGGTTTCCTGGCTGTGAAGCTGGAACCCAATTTGTTCATCTTGCAGCAGTCCATGCTGGCTTGAACTGCTCTCCCTGACAGTTTGAACTTGGCCCTCTGACCTTTCTACTTGAACTCGTCAGCCTGACCTTTCCACTTGAACTCAAAGCTTAAAAGCTTAAAAGAGAGATGAAGGGAATGGAGAAGCCCACAAGGGCTTTGAAAACCCAACATATTTCTGGGAATATAGGTCACATACACAAATAGAGCTGTAGATATACTTTAAAAGTCCTAAGCTCTCACCTCTGGCTGACCTTGAGGCTCCATGCTAAGGCAGAACAGTAAACTGCATAAAGGAGTGCTGGAAGTAGGGTCCACTATACACACAAAACTCTCAGGAAAGACTGGAAGATTTATTGGTCCCGAGATACGTAGAAGTATCTAACCTGTGGTCTCCCCGCCTCACCCCACAGCACCATGCCTGTTACACTTATTTTGTTTTGTTTGAATACACACCTCTTGGGATGCTGAACATTCTGAAAAAGTTGATTCTAACTACTTTTGCTAGATTTCCCCTTGCTTTTATGAGGGGGGCATTTTTTCTAGGGTCTGTCCCCATTTTCCCTCACTAGTTTCTTGAGGGACAGTTGGCTGACCTCCTCATGGTTGCTGCATCTATTCGTTGTTTAGTATGTACTTAATAAACCCTTGTCCCATAAACCAAGAGAAGACAGCCTTTCCATACTGTTATTTCCCAGAGCCCGCACCTGAGCTTGGCCGGCTGATTCGCTCTCTCTGGAGCTCGGCCCAGCACTGCTTCTGGAGGGGGTCCAGGAGCCCTCGTTCAAGGTCTGGGTCTAAGAGAAGCATACAGGATGCGGCTGCCCGAGACCGAGGGGCGCAGTAGCCAGAGCTGGGTACCAGGGTGGACATCTGCGCGCTGTCCAGGAAGCAGGGAGATGCGCGGGGTCCAGCACAAGAGCCGGCTCCCAGAACAACCGTGGAAGCGCGGGCGAAAAGGTGCCGGGTTCCCGACGCACAGCTCCGTCCCGCTCAGGCCCCACCCCCGAACCAGCCCTCGCCCGACTCTCGCGCGGTCTGAGCTCGCGTGCGGCGCAGAGGCCGACGGGAGCCGCCGCTCTGAGGAGGCCGACATGGCGGCGGCGGCTGCTCTTCGCGGGGTG